TCGTCAGGATACTAGTGCACGTTTTGATGTATTTTTATGCACTGTTTATACTTGAAGAAACAATAAATTATTTATTTTATCACACACATTGTGTAGTAAATGATTTAAAAATGAGCAACACTTAATGTACAATGATTTTGATGACAACATGGTACATATCATTTTATCATTGAACAGTTCAAAAAATAATTCATCTATTTAATGAACACTTTTTGAATTAATCTAGTTGTTTACAAACTAAGTGTTGACAAAATCTAGACCATTAATTTTCATTAATTTCAAAAATTGTTTTTGAAATGATTGATTTAAATGCTGCCAATACATAGTTTGTAAACCAAACTTGTCAACCTAATTTGTACAAAATGGTATTCACACTTTTTCCACAATTAACATTATCAACAATATTGTACAAACAGATTAATTCTTTAAATTTTTGATAGAAAATGTCGAACTATCTCATAGATTTAAAAATTAAAGAGACAAGAAGTTTATACATTTTTTTTTTTGGAAAAATAAATATTTTCTTGATTTGGTATCTATGTTTTATGGTCAATGGTTTGAAATGTCCCAAAATAATCACGTCCGTGCTAGATTTTCGCATCTATTCAACCAATGTGGTACAAGTGATTAAGTTCCAAAATCAATTAGGGTTATGTTATTAGTACGCTAATTTCTTACATTATGGATCATATTTGCTGTGTTGGCAAGAAAAGATTGGTTGAAAAAATTATTATTTATAAAAAAAAAAAAAAGTTCAATTAAAAGCTTTTTTGGTACCCATTTTTTTCAAAATATATTTTTCTCTCTCTTTTTTTCAACTACACATTCTTTATTAAAATAAAATTAAAAACTTTTATTTATTTTTCAATTACACATTTTTCATCAATTTATTATTCTAAAATATATTTTTACATAAACATGAGTATCAAACACTCTCTAAATGATATCACGTGGTCAAGTGTAATCAATGACGTAGAAGATGTAATTGAATCAAGGATTTCTCCCCTTGCACAAAACCCTGTGCACACTGTGCACAGGGTGTGAATGTGGGGTCCACCCCATGTCTCACACCCTGTGCACAGGGTTTTGTGCAAATAGCACGGCCCTTGAATCAATTGTCCAAAAGATATGGCACATTGGTCGACAAAAGTGATGCCATTAGTGCCACGTGTACGGTCCTGGATCGGAAACCATCCCATTGGCGTCCCGAAAATGCCAACGACCTTACACCGGCTTCATGCAAGTGAGGTGTTTTCTAGGGTTAAACATCTAAATATTTTATTTATTTATTTTTAATCTCGTTTAATTTAATATGCCAAACCCATTAAAGTCGAGCGGAATAAAATCTCAAGCAAATGAGGTGTTTTCTAAGGTTTTTTTTTTTAAATCTCATTTAATTAAACTAGTCAAAGTTGAACATGCATTGCACGTTATTCTTAAATACTTTATAAGTGATGTAAAAATAATATTTGGTACCAATTTGGTGGAAGATTTGATGATTCTCAGACAAATTAAAGAAAAAAATTTAACATCGAAATTTAAGAGAAGAAAATTTTACTCTCAAAACTCAATTTCTATGATTCAAATTTTTTGTAATGATGAAATACTATAAATGAGTAATATTTTTATATTACATTTGATACGTAAAAATTAATTATTAATACATAAATTTAAACACAGATTAAAATTTCTAGATACGTGAATATGAATAAATTTATCTATAATAACTCTAGGTTCATATAATTCAAAATTCATCAGGTGAAAATTCATTGAATCTAGAGTAATGTGAATGTTAATTAATTAAGAATTAATAACACAAATTTTATAAACGATAATAATTATGTAGTATTTATCACATATCGAAAACGAAAAGTAAGGTATTATTGAAATAATTGAATTGTAGGAAGGTTAAAATCGTAAAAAAATAAATGATTTTAGATACTTTAATATTTAATTATTTAAATATGATAAAAACATTAAAATCGACAGTAAAATAAAGGCTCATGCAAGTGAGGTGTTTTCCAGGGTTGAACTTCTAAATATTTTATTATATTTTTATTTTTAATCTCATTTAATTTAAATATACTAGACACTTTAAAGTAGAGTGGAAAGTAAAATCTCAAGTTCAGTAATAGAATTTTGTAACGATAAAAATACGGGGATAAAATTAAATTAAAAGGTCGCCTTCAAGAAAAAGACAAAATAATTGGGGTTCCCATTACTTAAATAAATGCTTTCTTAGGGCCTGTTTGGGAGCGATTTTTCCTCCCAAAAAATTAATTTTTTGACCGTTATTTCACTATTCCAGCCGTCATATTTGACTTCTTCTCTCACAGGTGGACCCTACTTTTCTCCTAACGGTCAAAAAATCAATTCTCAAAATCACTCCCAAACAGGCTCTTAGTGTAAAAGTAAATAAAGACAAAAAGGAAACGACAACGTTTGATATTGTGCCCACTACGACTAATCAATTGGCGTTAATGACTTTACACCTCGTCCATGTTTGTCCTCGTCCGACAAGGTCCCAATAAGAGTTTTGCAACAAGAACAGAAAATTTTTCCAGAATTGTTACAAAATTTCAGTTGGCTCATTTTCATTGGTTGTTGTCCAAAAAAAAAAAAAACAAAGGGACAACACCCACAGCACCTCAGTGGTGCTTGTGAGTTTGCCCAATAACCTTTGTACGTGTGATACGTATGTTGTTAAGCATTTACTTGAATCCTATTTTTAAGAGATAATGTATTTTAAGATAGTGATTTTTTTTAAATGTGTGATTAAAAAATAAGGAACAGATTTCAATTTACCTGTAAACTTATTTTATGAAAAAAAATGTTTGGTTAAAAAATAAACTTCGAAAAAATAAGTTTTTTAATTAATCTAAATAATCAATATAGCAGTGTTCACCACCCCCCCGCCCCAAAAAAAAAAAAAAAAAAAAAAAAACCCCCCCCCCCCAAAAAAAAAAAAAAAAAAAAATCCAACTCAGCTTAGAGGTAAAGAGTGAGGAAACCTTTTTCTAATCTTTTTAATGGGAGCTAGGCGCCAAAAGGCGTGTGCATTTTTTTTTTTTTTTCAATTTTTTTTTAAATACGACGTCAAATAAATTAGTTAAGTAGAATGAAAACTTAATAAAAAGAAAATTAGAAAGTAGATTACAACATATATTTGAAAGAAATTATTAAATTTATTTAAAAACGTACTTAAAATAATATTAAAAATAAAAATACGTCATATTACGTTTTTAACTCGTAAAATTTGATATTGTCACCTTGTCACGCATAGTGCCTTTTATAAACTCGATATATATTCATCCAAACTCACAATTTATAGGTTATCATGTCTATTTATACGTAGCTAAAACGATGGATAGTAATTTAACTATTATTTTGATATCTTAAATTAAATGACATAAACTATTTTAACACTTATGTGTTTCCTATTCAACACTAACCTGTAAAAAGTATGTTTCTTTTCAATTTCAACTGTTCTATGTAAAAATATAGAGGAAGAGCCTCTGTTAAAATATAAGACGGCTAAAACATTCGGTAAATAGTTATATACATAAAGCATTTTTTTAACATTTTGGCATGCAGAATTAAATCAAATCACTATAATTTTTTTTTTTTTTTAAGTTTTTTTATCGTATTCAATCTAACCTCCTAAACATACATTTAAATATGAATAAAATAATAAATTATTCTTTACTTCATTTTCTTCGGAATTTTATTTTTTAAGCACCGACTTTTCAACTATTAATACTTTAGTTTGATGGATCTCCGGGTAAGATTACACTTAAATTAATTACGTAATGAAGAGATAATGGAGCATATCACTCATTAATTCAATTCATCAAATCTCAGGGAAATTTTTTTAGTTATGTGTCATCAAATTAGTATTGATTAAGTTAATCAGTCCATAGTCCGTAGACATCAATAGCTTTAATATTGGAAAAAAAGAATAATGTTATTGGTATACATGTAGCGGCTAACGATTTGATACACATTAGTACATCAAATCGCTAGCCGCATATATATGTCATTTATGATGATTATGAAAGTGAGCGAATGTAAATAACATTACTTTAAAAAAAATAAAAATAAAAAAAATAAGTCCAACACAAGTACAAAACCCTAGGTCATAGGTTTTGACTAAATTATGTATAATTACTTGTCAATGATATTTTATATTATTTTATTCAATTTACTTTAAAAATAATATAATAAATATATAATCGACTATAAAAACCCTTCTTCGTCGTATTATTTATAACATAAGTACTCGAAGTATGATACAAGTCTTCTTAGAAAAATTATAAACAATAAATAAATAATACTAATTTTTTTATTGTTTGGCCATGGCTTACTAAAATCATTAGTGCCTCAAATTTGTATTTTTAGAAAGCTCTTTCAATTTAGAATTTTATAATGATGTCAATTTGGGTGGATCGTTCGTACCACACATTTATCGAAATGTCTGCTAGCATATAATCCTGAATGCTAAAGGCATTGTTTGATAGAATTTATTTGGAAAAAATGAATTATTGACTTTTTTTTTTTTAAATGTATGATTAAAAAGTAAAGAAACTTTATTAATTTGCCTATAAAATATTTTATTGTGTAAAATGTGTGACAAAAAATAATCCTTTAATAAACAATTTAAATTTTTAAAGAATGACAAACAGAGGCTAAGAATTGCAACAACTGCATCACCTACATGTTTTAGAGCTCGTTTGGCATGACTTTCAAAAATTCAAAAGAAACTTTTGAAATCCAAAAAATTACTTTTAAACCCCTTTAACTAATTTTGTGAGAATGTTTCTAATAGTTAGAAAAACTTTAAGAGAAAACTCGTCCATTGTATCTTCCTCTAGAGACACTTTTGAAATAAAAAATTCTTTTAAAAATTAATTTCCAAACAAAACTTAACTTTATGTTAAAACTCTTCTATACGAAGTAGAAGCAAAAAGACATGCCATACGGGCCATATCCACTAGAATTACATGCCTTCTGTTGGGAACACAACAAAATACGAAAAATGGATTCAAATCGATAAAATACAAAAAAATTCCAACAACGTTTAAATATTTTGTCATTCCGGATTTTTCGATGTAGTTAAGAAATACTCCAAAGCAGAAACAACGGAGTAGCCACCAAATATAAAGAAAATGGAAGCACAAACGACAAACGACTGGGCAGCACATCCCTCACACAATGCGCTCCAATTCCCTTGCATAACTGAGCGTCTGATTGATAAGTTGCAAAGATGGAATTTCCTTGCAAGGCACCGATTCTTTGGCTCGTTGGAAAAATACAAACCCATTCTCGATCTCCCACTCGGGATGCTCCTGCATATTGCAAATGGTAAATGCTCATCGTACTAGACAAGGTTTAAAATTTTAATAACTGAAATTTTAACTTCATTCTCATCGTTAATATTGTCCTTTGTATTATTATATCATCTACAGTACAAAACAAGCAATTAGTGCTACCATTTAGCACCTGTTTGACAATTTTCTTCATACTCATTTTCAATCACACATTCTCGAAACAGAATATTCTTCACGTAAATATAAAACTTTTTTCTATTTTTTAACCACATATTCCCCAAAAATTTACTATTCAAAAACTCATTTTTTCCAAAAAAAATTCTATCAAACATGGGCTTAATTAGCAGAAGGCCAAATTTGGAAACTCGATTACCCCACAGTGTTGGGGTTATGTAGAGTGAAGGTTTGGAGCAATGTGTTGCAAGGCACTTACTTTCTTAATGTATTCAACCAGTTCATAATCTGAAGAAAACAGAAGAATTTGCTGTGCGTCCTTTATGGAAAGGCTGTCATATGCCTTCTCGCTGCATCCAGCTATCTCGTCCCTACCAATAACAAATAAAATTTCAGGAGCAAAAATACAACTGGAAATCTATGTATAGCACACCCACATTAAGGACTGTCTTATGCAGCAGAGTTCCGATAAAAAATTAAGGCAACAGTAAAGTAACTTAGTAGCTCATGATAATGTGCATGAAACTGATCCAAGTAGGTTGATGGAAATGACAACAGTATCTAAATATCTAAAGAAGCTACTTCTTCCGTAACAAAATGGTAATTATTAGTTCTAAATCAACTCCAACTACCAAGAAGAAAACGAAATAGCAAATGAAACCCAAAAATGGGGAGGAAAAAACATACCTGACAGTATTTGCCAGCAAATCCATAAAATAAACATAGGTTTCATGAGGTACTGTTTGTCTAGCACTCAAAACACGGTTATAAGCTCCCTCCATGAAGGACTGTTCCAACTCAACAGCATGCTTGATGCAAGGATTTTCCAAAGCAACATCAGATAGTAATTCCAACTCAGTATGGAATTCAGCAATTCTGTTCTGCACAAGGAGTCTCAGAAGGTTGAGACCCAAGATCAGATACTCCTGTGGGGACTGTGGAAGACGGCCACTGCACAATCAAATGCAATAAAGGCCATAAGCACTGTCTTAAAAATAAAAAACCCGACATAGTGAAACTGTCTTCTTAAGTTATTTATTGGAAAGTGAAACATCATATTCAGCTCCTGTTTGACAACCATTATTTTGGAAAAACAATGTTTTGAATAGTGATTTTCAGGAGAATGTATTGTTAAAAACTAGGAAAAAAGTTTTGGGTTCATGCAGAATATTTTATTGTGCAAATGTTTGGTTGAAAATTAGTATGTAACAAAAAGAGTTCAAATAATGGTTGTCAAACGGGGCTCAATGAAACAGAAATGTAAAAATGTCACACAAAATTAGAATCACCTTTGAAAAAACAAATGTATACAACACAAATGTACCAATTTATTAGATCAATGCTTATAACACCCCCAACACCGTCGAAAATGTATACAACACTGTGGAAAATGTGTACATCTACGAAGCATTGAGACTCCCAAGAAAGTAGAGTTTCAATGTGAGACAGAGCATATATTGTCATTTTTTTTGACAATCTCAACATGTCCAAGTTTCTTTTGACAGCATCCATAAGAATAAACTCTGCGTGTCCACTTGGCCCCTAGTTCTTAATTGCTCGAGGTTATTGCATTTTCAACCCCAATGACAAAGAAAATAACTATCAATTTAGCCTCCCTTTGGCAAATTTATAAATGGTTTATAAAAAGGAATGGTAGTGGGTTCCACAAAATGTGTGGATAGTAATGAATAGGGTTAATATGTGTGGTTGAAATTATATTTGAATTTGACTGAATTTAAAAACCATTTACAAATTTGTATCCAAACGGAGGATTAATATTCAAAAAATGTGATGTATGGATCAACTCAGACATCACTTTGTCTCATGAAAGAGGTTGTGGAAGAAGTCCCCTTATTTTATTTATATTAAAAAAAAGAACAAGTACAATAAAAAGAGATCATTGTCAAAAGTGATTACAACGCTCAGCCCCTTTTTTGCCACCCTCTCTGTCATGTACTGTACACACATGATAACATGAGCATTGACATATAATAATGTATAGATACCAACTTACCGTGCATCTGTGTAGTAAGGTTTCAGTTGGAAAAAGTCCCTCTCAAAAGCATCCAGATCCTCAATCTTCACACTTAAAACAACTGCATGCTCATATATGTCCCCTGAACAATGTTGCAGTAACCAATATTAATAGTCAATCAAAACAAAAATTTCAAAGGAAATCAAGAAGAATTACACGAAAGATCTCAGGTCAAATTAGGGGCGAAATGTTACTTGCTAGTGTCAATTCATGGATTGCATTTGGCGTTTCTTCGAATAATGGAGGTAGACTCTTCAATTTTGTCAGCAGAACCTGCAGCAGTAATAACATATTGCACCATAGATTAACGATTTCAACCACAATAAAAATTTCAGAGTCGTTATTTGTCAAAGTACCAAACAGTTCTTAACATACATAAAATACTATAATGAACACAAAACTTTCATGAGTTGAAATAGGAATCCAAAGAAATGAAAGAGAAATCTACATTCCGCGAGCACTTGGTGAAAGGAAAAGAAAAAGAAAATAAGAGGGGGGGGGGGGGGGGGGGGGGGGGGGGGGACCTTACTTTCCATTTTCTTTAACATCCACGACATTCTTTCCTATCACTACACAAAACATCATATTTTCCTCCTTTTTCTCAATTATTATTTATAATGGTGAGCAGCACAAGAAAAACACATGTTGTATTGTTTTACACTTCTTCTCAATTTCCATGTTCAAAACATTCAGCAAGCTTCTTTAAAAAAATGAATACATATAATACTCAAAATCACATTCAAACTACTGCAAACCCATGAAACACTGCTGTCTTTCATAATTCAACAATCATATTATTAAGCAAAAACAGCAAAAGTTATCATCTCAAATAAAAAGCATTAGATATAACACCATGCATTGCTTACAGAATAATCTTTTTTTTTTTCCACCCATAAAATCCTACACTGCACAACACCATATTAATCAAATAACCCAAATAAATCATTACTGAATCCTACAAAACAATCTAAAAACACCAAAAGCAAAACACAGTCGTGCTTACACAATATATTTCAATAGAGTAAGCAAACCAAAACCAAGTAATGAATGAGATTTTGTTTCACTAAGTCATCAAAAAATTCTAAGATAACTAAGGCTTTTAGTCATTGGAGTTGTACCTTCAGCCAACTGAAAAACCAGAAAAAATTACCAACTTTAATTATTGAACAAATATTGAGCATAAAATGCAAAATTGATCAGCTCAGACAAAAAGCCTTAGATCTAGCACCGTGAGTTTCTCTTCAGAACAAGTGTACCTAAAACGCCCAAAGCAGAATACTATCATGATTCACACATGCACAATACATTATAATAAAGTCAATCAAAACCGAAAATTAATAGGTTCAAAGAAAAAACATTAGATCTAAACACCATTGATTGTTCTACAGAACAAACCTATCTAAAACACCAACAGCAAAATATTATCACAGGTGCATAATATATTTAGATAAAATCAAGCCAAAGCAAAACCCAGCAATGAACAAGTTTCAGTTTCTCTAAATTTTTAAACATTCTCAGTAAAACAGGGATTTAGTAATTGGAGTTGTATCTTCAGCCTACTGCAAAACCATGAATCACTAGAAACTTCAGCAATTCAAAATAAAAATATTGAGCTGAAATTGCAAAATTAATCGGCTCAAGCAAAAATCCATAGATCTAACCCCATTAATATCTCTACAGAACAAACCCATATATAACATTAAAAGCTAATAATATCACAACTACACAAGACATTTCAATCAAGTCAATCAAAACCGGAATCCAGTAAAGAATGAGTTTTTCTTTCACTAAATCACAAAATTTCTTAGAAAAATTAGGGCTTTTTAGTCATTAGAGTTGTACCTTGAGCTGGGATAGGAGTTCATTACACTTGTCAAAATCATTCCGCGCAAACGCAGCTTTAAATCTTTCGAATGCTTGTGTAGCCTCTGTAATTTTCGGATCCATCCCTCTTCTTTTAACTTTTCCTTTTCTATTTCTCCGGTTTTTCTCAGAGATTTAAAGGATTCTCTTCTTTCTGCACAAGAAAACTCGCAAAATTGAAGGGGTTTTGAGACCCCCGGGTGGGAGAGACGGGTCAGTTTGACCCGGATGTTTAATTGGATGGAAGATTTTTCTATTTGGTCGGATTTTATTTCTCTTTAATTTATTCATAGAAAAGTATATATTGCCCTAAATAAAATAATTTTTCTTATATTACAATATATATTTCGATCTTTTAAATTATTTTTATCTTATATTTATTTTATTCTGAATTTTAGCATATAAGTTCATTTTATGATCTAATATATTGGAATATTTTTCAACATATTGTTCATATTTTTTATTAAGTATATTATATTCTTTAGAAGATACATTTATATATTTTAATTGAGAAATAATATTTTTTTATGTCTTTTAACATTCTTTTTAGTAAATTATCTAATCATTTAATTGTATATCCTGGTATTCAATAATAAATAATCCTTACTAAAATTTTAAAAAGATTCGTTCTAATTTTAGCAAAAATTAATAGTCTTACTTTAATTCTGATCTGAACCTTTATTCTTAGAATTGAGTGACTTTCGAGCTTTGAATGTGTAAATTGCTTCCTTCAACGGCCTTTTGCCTTCACGAAATTTTTACTATTTCAACTTCTTGCTCTCAATGTATCATTTCTCAAGAATAAATTTCTAGACTTTAATTAAAGAAAACTCACTATTTGCTAAAATAAGAAAGAAACTTGCTATTAGATCTTTCAAGAATCAATGAAAATAAAGATTTAGAAACTGATATTGATATCAAGATATTATAATTTTATATCTATAAAATTTGTACAAGATTTCTATTTGGTACAAAAGAGTTTCCAGAAAAATTGGTTTTGAGCTGAAGATAACTTGAGAATAGATATTGATTCTCCACTACAAATCGAGATATCTCCTTCCTTCCCTAATATCTCTATTTATACATACATATGGAGCTCTATTATTAATCTATTTACATCATTGCGTACATCAGCAATATCAAAAGGCACACTTACCTTCTATTGTTATCCTTCTTGGACCTACATCTTCATATGCAGCTTCTGCTTTTTATCAAATGAGCATATTCCTTTTTATTATTGTCTTTTTATCTCCATATCTTTATATGCAGCAGGGACAATCTCTTAGCTGACAAGATTCCTTGATAGTGGTAGGACATCCTGAAAATTGATATATATTGAATTTTATGATATAATCCTTCAAGATTTCTGATTTTCCTTGTCCTCCATTTGTAACTAGCATCCAATTTTCATATTGATATAAATATGAGAATTTTTTATCATACAAATTTTTGGTAATATAGTATATAGCTTTGATTCCAAGTGCTCTTCTATTCTTGATCCTTGACTTTGTTACCAATGAAGCTTTTCTATCATTATCCATAACATTTATTTGGAAATTAGCTGCTACCTACCCAATTGATATTATATGTTCAACTGGATAATAAACAATTACATCATATTCAGGACTTATTGAATAAATTTTCAGATATATTCTTCGTCCTTTGGCAAATTTTGATACTTCTTTTTTGAACATTTCATCAAATTTTAATATTTCAATCAAATTCTTTCTTGGATATATTAAATCAAGAAATTCATAGTTTGCAATTATCTTTATGAAGCTATCACTCTAGGATAAACATTATTTCTTGGGGAAATGAAATATGAATTATTTATTTTTATTTCATACACAATCCTGACTATTTTGGCAAATTCTTCTTCTTTTGGATCTAAAGGGATATCTATGATACTGATAGTTTTGGAATCATTTTTATCTCCATATCATTACGAATTTAGTTGATGTTATTGGAATCGAATCTCCCTTTTTATCAGTTTGTATGGTGTCACGTTTGGGTCTACTGCTACTTTCAGCTGTCCATATTTGATATTGATTTGAAGAACTCATTTCTGAGCTCTTTGGTATATCTGTCTTAAACAATATATCTTTTAATTGTGCTGCAATAGCGTCAACTTGATTTTTGAGTACTATGGTTTCTTTATGTTGCTCAGTAGTGATATTCAACAATATTTTTATATCTGTGTTGAACATCTCTGAGATCTGTGTTGCTCCAGTATATATGTCTTCAACTTCTTCTTTAAGAAAATCTATCCTTTTTTATATACGTACGATAGATTGATATAAATCCATGACCTTGGCTTTATCCATCAGCAAATTCTATGTTTCTGTTAAGAAAATCTGCAAGAAAATTATTGACTTCTTTAATATGAATTATATCAAAATTATAAATTGTTAAATAAGTTTGCCATCTATGGAGCCTTCTGTATTGAGGTTCTGATGGTAGTTTATTCCTATTTAATCCTGCGACTTGATAATTATCAGTTTCAACAGTAAATTTCTTGGATAATAAAAATAATGAGAACTTTTTTATTCCTCTAATAATTACTGGTAATTTTATTTCATGAGTAGTGTAATTTATTTATGCTTAATTAAAGGTTTCACTTAAATATCTACAAATCTCATTTAGATCTGTTTTTAATATTGCTGTCCAATATTTATCTGAGGCATTAGTATTAACAATTAAATTATCTTTTTTCATCTAGTAACTTTAATTTTGATAAATTTTTATATTCTTCTTTTAATGATTTAACTATTTCTGTATATTTTTCATTCCATCCTTTAATATTTATTTTTCTAAATAAAATTTGTATTTTATGCATTTTCTTAGAAAGATTTTCAATAAATCCTTCTACATAATTTAAACATCCCAATAATTTTTGTATTTGTTCTTTGAATTCTAGTTTATTTGGAAAACTTTCTTTTTTTTTTCTTTAGATATATGAGTCTTTAATTTTATTCCTCTTTTATCTATTGATAATTCAAAAAAGTCCATTTCTTGTTTTTCTAATATAGATTTCGTTTTAGGAAATACAATTTCTTCTTTTTTACATTCATTTATGAATTGGATTAAATGATTTCTATGTTTTTCTTTACTATTAAAACATATTAGTATGTCATCTATATAGACAATTAGAAATTAATTAAACTTTTTAAATATATTATCCATTTTTCTTTGATATATTTGTAGTGCATTTTTTAAATCAAATGTCATTACTAACCATTCATATTTTCCTTGATGTATACTAAATACAGTATATTGTATACTATTTTCTTCCATTTTTACTTGCTAAAATCCTGATTTATAATCAAATTTAGAATAATATTGTTTTCCTTTTGCAAGATTTATTAAAACTTCTTTTTTTGGTAAAAAATATCCATCAAATTTAGTATATTTATTTAATTCTTTTTAATTTATGGTCATTCTAATTTTTCCTCTAATTTGTTCAGAATGTTTCATAACCATAAATGTTAGACTACTACGAGGTCCATTACTAGGTCTAATAAGTTTCTATTCTAATAATTTTTTTATCTGATTTTTGAATTCTTGTGTATCTTCTACGGTATACATCATTGGCCTGAATCTTATTATAACATTGTTTATTAATTCTATTTTGGTTTTAGGATGATGTGATTTTCAAAATAATAATGAATTTTCTCTATAAACTTTTTCTAATTGTTCAATGGTTCTTTCTATACTCATTTTTATTCCTATTTTTAGGTCTTTTTTTATACAATATTCTTTTATTTTTTATTTCATTATATATAATTGGTTTTTCTCTCATTTATTAGCACACTGGGCTGGCTAAACTCTATAAGGTCTAAATTCTTTTGAAATTTTTAATAAGTATAAGCAAGGTGTTTGTAACATTATCATATAATTATTTTGTTTATAATATTAAAATTGTTGTATAAAGTCATTTCCTAACAATATATCATACTCTAATTTATCATATTTATATATTTTATTTATTGTAACTTGTTTACTTCTAAAAATTATATTAACTTTATCAGCACTACTAATTATTTGAATGCTTTCTCCTATGACTTCAGTTATTTTTATATTACTATCACTATTCTATGATTTTATCAAAAAACTTTTAAATATTGTTATATCACTTCATGTGTCTATTAAAGCACATGTTGTTATGTTTGTTTCTATAATAGTAACTTGTATATATATAACTAATGGAAAACTTATCTGATTATTGATTTAATTCTTTTTGCATAATATAGATTGTCCATTATGAACTATGTATAATCCTTCTCTTATTATACTATAATCTTCTAATCGATTCAAAAAACTCATTCATAAAAAGTATGTAAGGGTTTATATCCATACTGTTATCTATATAATATAGTACTAAAATATTTATTCCTCCTATTTTTATTTGTACTTTTACTTCTAATTCTATAATATTACTTATCCATCAAAATTTGTATATTTATATGGTTCAGTGTTATTAGTTAATAAGCCTTTATTTTTTATTGAAGCTATATAATATTCTCTGACTTCTGTATCTATTAGTATATTTGTTCCATTTATATATTATATTCTATTAAAATATTTTCCTTCTATTCTCATATTTCCAACATTTCTGTAAAGTTTTACTAAATTTTTCTGACTGATTTTTATTAGGTACTCTAAGACTTTTTGTTCTTTTAATCAATTTTTCATTTTTAAATATTATATTATTAGAGTATTCTTCTTCATTTTATTCTGTTATTTCAAGTTTATTTTTGTTATACTAAATTCCTATTTTTCTAGAATTAAACTTATCTGTTTATTTGGTTCCATTATTTTACTAATATCCTTACATTTTTTATGTACTTCAATATATGGTTTATTGGAATAAATATTTTCATAATTAAAATTGGTAAATGCGTATAGAGCTTTATATTCTATAGTTATAATTTGATCTTCCGGTTGCATGATATCATCTCTATGTAGCTTAAAATGTAATCCTAAAATTTCATTAAAATTTTTATCTTTTAATAAGACACAATATTTTGGATAACTTGTAAACATTATTTTTTGACATGTCAAAATTCCTTCTATTGTTCCTAAATGACTATCTTTTAGATTTATTATTCTTCCATCATATAAGGTTATAGTTAAGGGTGAGTCTATCCTCTCTCTGAATAATGATTTAAACATTATTTGTATTCCTACTAAATAAACATATTTGTTGTAAAAAGAAAGTTTATTAGGGTTTAGAGGTGAATGACAATTATACC